GTCCCATACATGTCAACCTCTTCGGATGTTTACCTGTATAAAAAGCCTCAAAAATCTGTAAATTTTGCAAAAAATACATGCAACTCACACCCATGGGGGTTGGGGCTTTTTCAGCCTTGCTGAGAACATGAAAGCACCCACTGCGAAGCAGGAGGAAAGAAGTGCGGAAAAAGTTCAAAACTTATTTCTACTGGCAGAACAGGTTGGAAGATGACTATTTAATGTCATTTATTGTTTTTTAAATCATCCTACAGGCTCTGACGTGTTAGATAAATTTGAAAATGAGGTTTTGAAAAAATCCGTAAGACTTGGAAAAATCCGTGAGATTGCTCTATACATCCGTATACCTGCAAAATGACGTAAAATCCTTATAACTTACGGACCTTCCGTACAAGTTCACATGTATGTTGTTATTTATTTGCTTTCTGAGAAACCAAATAAATTTAAGTTTACCATAGTACCTTACACTCTCAAACTTGTTTTAAAGGGGGTTCAAATTGGGGTGGGTGGGACATAGTTGTGGGGGGATGCGCTTCAACTCGCCTAGGGCACCAAAATGTCTAGAGCCAGCACTGGGTGGGTGCAGGGGGGACAATGATAATTCCTAAAAAATGGTCCTGACCCCACTTTTACCAAACGTTTTATCTTCTTAAGTTTAAATTTTTTTGTTTGTTGTGCATTTTTAACCCCTCCTGGCTATTTGGGACTAGTAAAGCCTCATAAACATAAAAACAAAAGTTAWTTTGCATAATAAGGAGATAAAATGATAAATCTTCAAATTTACTCTGAATAAGGACAGCCAGTCTAAAATCAATTTCCACAACATTAGGATGCAGGGTCTCAGAGGGTTACGGTTACATTTTTAGGAGCCAGCCGAAACTGGATGAGCACATGTGATAAAGCACAAAATATAATTTTTAGCTCTTCAGAATCAACTCCAAATGCATGGGAGCCAAATATTTTGGGAGGCACCTTTGMAAAATTGATCCATGATGGTGAGAAGTACAGTTTAGAGCTTGAGTTGTTTCCCAGTCGGTCTTTATTTATGACAGAAATGAAGAGTTACACAAACTTTATTTCTTTCTTGTTTTAAAACAAATCCTTTTCATTTCAGACTGAACAGTGTCTGTTGTGTCTCTCAGCACCCGTGTTCRGGGACGATCCGACACTTGAGGATCTTCAGGTAGTTCTGGATCTTGTTGGAGTCTCGGCGGAAGCAGTAGAGGAGGTCGTAGTCCTTCATGAAGCGCCACTCTGAGCTCTCCGAGGTCAGGAAGGCCTCAGGAGAAGCCAGGCTGCCCACAGAGGTACTGATGATTCCCAACGTCTGCATCTGGAACAGAGTTTATTACTTACTACAAAACAAAGACAACACGCCTCATCCTAAAGCAGCGATCATCAAACCATGGCCCGTGGGCCAAATCCAGCTTTAATTTAGGTTTTCCAGGGTCTGGATTCCCTGCTGAGGCAGAGACTAATGAGGATTCGGAAACAATAAACTGTAAGTAATCAATTGAATGGATGTATTTTCTTCTATTTTAAAGGACTTGTACATGTTTTACTGTTTATTTAGTTTCATAAAGAACTCTTCTTGTTGTTTAGCTGGGGCGGTCCAGGCTGTGCCCTGCCTCTCAGCTCTCTGAGCTTAGTGTAGGGGTCACCTCGAGTGAAGAAACAAGATTTACTGCCTCGAAGCAGGCCTCGGAC